AACTGATATAAAATCTAAATTACTTCAAACAAAAAAAAAACAAAAATAAGCATGCAAAATAAAAACTAAATCAAATTAACTATCAGAAACTACAACAAACAAATAAAAACACGCAAAATAAAAAATTAATTTGAATAAAATCAACTTAATGAATTCTACTAGACAGAGCATGCAAGATAAAGAACTATTTCAACTACGGGGTCATCTTTGTCTTCTCCAACGTCGATCTGAAACAGATACGATGGCAAATAGATTAATAAAGAGCAATTAAAATTAATTATATCAAGCATCCTCACCTTAATTAATTATAGAATTGATTGTAATATTCCAAAGTTTACAGGTGTGAAAAGTAAACCAACTCCAGGAGGAATACTGTAGCAGAGAACTTATTTCAATGGAATTCAAATAAATGTCCAGTTGCCATCACTCATGGGTTGAAAATTAACTGCATGATGTTACAAGGCGAAGACAAAACAGCAAATCAAGAATATAATCCACAAAAGACCACACCCATGTAGACATTGGCTGTTTCAGTATAACCAAACTGAACGTTAATTCTTTCCCATTTATTGTATAACCTGCACAAACGGACAAAAAAACGTATTAATTACACTTATAATTAAGAAACACAAATAAAAACGTATCAAAAAGCAAGTAAAAATAGCTGAATTATAAAATAACAAGCGTTATTATCACGCCATTTTATATCACAACCATAGATCACGACATAGATAAATGACAAATAACTCGACGTCAATTTAGGATGCAGACAATAGAAAAAAGGTAAAAACGAAACTCCATAGATCAATGACGAATGTCAATTTATTCTGTGGAAAATAGAAATTGTCAAAAAGACATAGATGCACAATAACCTCAATTTATACTGTTAGCAATAATTGTTAACAGAAATGCCATAACATACTACCTATAAGCAATTGATATTAATGAAGTCATGTATTCTCACCTGAATTAATTGTAGAATACAACTGCAACTGCGAAGAGCAAGCCAAACTCAGGAGGAACAACAACATGTTATTTTCAATTTCCAATTGTTCTTTCTCATCGGTCCGAATTAACTGTGTAGTGCTGTTGCAAGACAGAAAACCAAGTCCAGAAAATATGATGCTACTGTAGACACTTGTTTCAGCAACATCAAAATCAATATCAATGTACTCTCTTTCTCATTAATAGTCAACCTGTAGAAAAGGGCAAAAGAAAGAATTAATTATACCATGTAAATAAGACGTTGAAGCAAAATAAAGACATTTTTTTCAAATACTTTCGAGAACAAAATAAAATACCAAAACCAAACACTTCCAAATACAAATGCTGAAGAATCTAAATTGTCACAAATAGTAATTGCAGGTTTCAAAAATCCTCATCTGATGAGGCCACTGTGGTGAAACAATTGATGGATTGAGAATAATGAAGTAAAATTATTAAATGCTAAAATCTTTAAAACTTTACCCAAAGTATTCCAAGGTTTCCTATCAGTATGGAACGAATGATGCGTTTAGGAAGTTCTTCATAACATCAAGGTCCTTAAGAGAAGATACACCGTCTGCATAGGTTGAACAGCTGGAGAAAATTTTGTTTGGCAAAGGTAGGAAAAAATGTATTCCGAAGATACACCTGTGGAAAGAAAATAGCAAATGAAAATCAAAAAAAATTTTGTATATCAAAAAAGGGTCAACGAATGAAAATAGTAATTTTGTTAAAACATAGGAACTATTTTACAAAATCAGCCTATTATTTCTAATAAAAACGATCTATATGCAGAAACAAGTTCCCAGGCTTTTCCTAAATTATTAAATATGGCGGANTTTTTAATTTTTAGATTAATAAAATCATAATTCAATTTTTATAAAAAAATATGAGAAATAACATTTCACATTATAAATTTTTTTAGTACTAGCGATAAAAATTGTTTATAAGATTTTGCATCCGTATGTACGAACGTTTAAGTGATACAGTCGTTTTTATAAGCGAAATAGTCTTAGGGATTTAGCTATTGATTCAATTTAAAATGAAATCTTCGCGAACTTTTTTGACACAACTGGAAGTTTTATTTTGCAACTTTAAAGAAGTCCTTGTATACGTTAAAATGTGTCTCTTTCGGCTGAAATGGATTTTAAATTACAGTTAAAGTAGGTAAGCAACAGGCTCGCAAACCGAGATCTGTTTCCGTAAAACGAGAAAAATTTAAGTCTGTAACCCGGTGATGTTGAATAATTCAACTAATCATCATTTCCCTCCTTCCAGATGCCTCTTGTATACGGATATTTTAATATATGACCTAATTGTTTCTTACCATGTTCATCAATTTTTTACCATATTTAGTTCTTTTTAATAATTGCAAGANAGATTTAGAGAAAGCTTTTGACAATATTAAATGGGACAAGATGTTAAATATACTTAAAAATATAGGGATGAGTTACAAAGATAGAAGAGTGATACTTAGTTTTTATAAAGAGCAACAGGCAGTTATAGAGCTAGGGATGCAACGTAGAGAAGTAAATATTAGGAAGGGAGTCAGACAGGGATGCATACTGTTACTTTTTAATCTATACATCGAAGACGCGATCCACATCATTAAGGACAGTACAACTGTAGGGATAGATGTACAGGGCAAAAGATTAGTATGCTTAGATTTGCAGATGATATAGCAGTATTAGCATCTAGCAAGAGATAGCCTCATATAAAATGGAAGCGGTATTGACAGGTCAGTACTGTATGAAAATAAATAAAACTAAAACTAAAATACTAGTATGCAAGGGACGGAAGGAGTAGTAGGGGTATAAAGTAGAGGATAGCGCTGGGTCGTGTCGCCTGTAATAAAAAGAAGTCAGTACGCTCGCGAACAACTAATTTAGAAATTCGAGAAAGGTTGTTAAAGATGTATGTTTGGAGCACGGCGTTGTACGGGTGCGAAACATGGACAGTGGGCTCGGCGGAAAAGAAAGGGTTAGAAGCGTTCGAAAGGTGGTGTTATACGCGAATGATGAGGTTACAGTGGATAGAGAAGGTTAGAAATGAAGAGATATTCGAAAGAATAAGAGAACAGAGAAGTCTACAAAAAATAGGCGAGATAGGTTGGTAGGACACCTTCTCAGGCATGAAGGTCTAGTCAGAGACATATTAAAGGCAGAAACAGGAGTTACGAGGGGTAGAGGTAGACCTAGATTAGATTACTCTTCGCAAATAGTTAAGGATGTGGGTTGCTCTAGCTTTAGGGAAATGAGAAGTTTAGCTTAGGATAGGAAAGAGTATAGATACGTGTCCAACCAGTCTTAGGACAGACGACCTTATGATGATGATGATGAACAATAACAAACGAAATTTTATACTATTTCAGAAGGTCAAAGGCTATTTTTAATTTTTAGATTAATAAAATCATAATTCAATTTTTATAAAAAAATATGAGAAATAACATTTCACATTATAAATTTTTTTAGTACTAGCGATAAAAATTGTTTATAAGATTTTGCATCCGTATGTACGAACGTTTAAGTGATACAGTCGTTTTTATAAGCGAAATAGTCTTAGGGATTTAGCTATTGATTCAATTTAAAATGAAATCTTCGCGAACTTTTTTGACACAACTGGAAGTTTTATTTTGCAACTTTAAAGAAGTCCTTGTATACGTTAAAATGTGTCTCTTTCGGCTGAAATGGATTTTAAATTACAGTTAAAGTAGGTAAGCAAGTAGATGCCTCTTGTATACGGATATTTTAATATATGACCTAATTGTTTCTTACCATGTTCATCAATTTTTTACCATATTTAGTTCTTTTTAATAATTGCAAGAACGGCTCATCATACTGCTGGACAATAATTTGTAAAAAAAAATGCACATTTAAATGTTTGAAGAATAGACTTTTTTACTGTTCCTGAAACAATTGTGAAATGTTTAAAATTTGAACGATACAAACTGAGTTTATTTATTTATTTGCCAGGTACATAATGTAGCAACAATACACATAAAAAAAATATTTAAATTATAATTGT